AGGATGAAAGAGGAAAAAGAGGAGATACAGGTTCTGACCCCGAGAAGGAGGAAGAGGCATGAGAGGCTAGGAATAAATAAAAAAATTTGAAAGTAATAACGATGTGATATAAAAAAACAAAAAAACAAAAGACAAATCTTGGGGAAACACAGAATATTGAGAAAAAAAATCAATGCCAGTGAATACATGATGAAAAAGACATAATAATTAGGGATGTCATAGGGAAGTGTTAATTTAATATGAAAAATGTTTAAAAAATAATGCATTTTTAACTCCTGACCTGTATGTAAATTCTATACATTTAAATTAAATTACAAAGTAAATAAAAATACATTGTAATATATTGATAGCCATAGAAATAAAGTAAAAAGTAAAAATAAAAAAAATAACCAGAACTGAACAGCTGGAACAGAAAGATAAGGTTGTAAAGAAAATGGGTAACTGCTGAATCACAGAGGCAAGATGACATGTTTACTGTCTGCATACACAGCACAGCACAGAAACCCTCCACCATCACTGCTGTGCAAACACAGCAAATCAACATCTGCACTCATCTCAGCCCTCTTTATCTAATTACTCTATTCGCTGCACATGATACCGGGAAAATTCATGTAAATGTATCTGTAACTGAAATGAGACAAAGCAGTTTTTCATTCAAGGCCCATTGTTCTTTTAGGAATTAAAGGGGTTAAACCACAATTTTTTCTTACGTTGAGGAATAATAGCATCCAGCCTAGTTCCTTCTAAATCACCTTACCATGACTTGGCAGTTGCTTAACACTAAATAGTTTTGTCTATTTGTCAATGTTTTGATGTCAGAAACCCAAGCTTTTGCAGCTTAGTTTTAACTAATGTTCTTTTTGGACTGCAAAAGAAGAGCTCTAAAGTATAAAGTATGTATTCATAGAACTTAAAAAAAAGACAAATTTCATGATATGACCCTTCTACAAGAATTACAACATTAGAAATGCAAAAAATAAAAGCATATAACAAAGAGCATTAACCCATCATCTTATTAGGCCATTCACTCGAAATCAAATCTGTGCGTTTGAGAGAGAAAGAGAAAGATACATATGCAGGAAATACAGATAAAATGACAGCAAAGCTGATGTC